CGTTCGAATACATCGATGGCAGAGTTCCAGGACGTGGTGGGTTTTCGCTTGTCAAGCGTTCCTCTATAAAAGCCACGAAAGTCCGTTTAACAACACTGCGACGGGGCGGAGGTGACTCGCCACTGAATAAAGTCACAACCAATAAGTCTACACTGACAAGCTGACCATGACTACACACTACCATGCTTGCTACGCCCCGACACTTTCTTATCTGCATATTTCGTCGACTAGTCTTTTTCTGCGCATTCACCTTTGTTCTTTGCGCTACACTCACATGAACCCAGCGTATCGTGTAATCGCGATTGAGCGTTTTCTTCACCAGCTCTTTTCTAACTGATCAGTGCTTGTTCTTGATCTACTTCTGCCTGAATTGTTACTGCATTTTATGGCAGACCGACTGCGCCCACACGAACGTGCCGAACTCACGACAATGGGCCTTCTTTCAGTGGGCTTTTATTCTCGCATAGCCGAGAATAAATGATTAATTTATATGTGCTTCTAGAAATAAGGAAATTACTGAATTGACTCTGAAATCTTAATGTGGGATAACGAGGCATAATGTGGACCATGGACGAAGGTACCGTGATTTGTGAAGCCATTTACAACCACTATGTTAATATTGTACGTCAGCGAAGACACCTCATTAATGGTCCCATCGGGTAAGCGAACGTGACTTTGCTTGTTGGCCCCATTCTGAACTTTGTACGATAGTATCTAGATTCACATAGCCCGATACAATCGTTTTATAGCTGTTCTGTCTCGGCCAAGCCATCCCTTGGTAGCGCCATTCTGAACTTTGTGCGATGATACACAGTTTCATGAAGCCTGTTGCTACCATAGTGTACATGGTCAATCGCAGCCAAGCCATCGCTTGGAAACTCCATTCTGGTCTGTGGACGATACTACTTAGTATCACCGAGGCTGTTGGAACCATTTTGCAAATGGTCTAACTCAGCGCAGCCATCGCTTTGTAACTCTATCCTGAACTTTGGACGATGGTTCCTGCATTCACTTAGCCTAACGCAACCACTTTGTAAATGGTCTAGCTCAACCAAGCCATCGTTTTGTAGTTCTACTATGCAGGTTGGACGATGGTTCCTAGATTCACTCAGACCACTGTCCACACTTACAGTGCCAAAAAGTACCGCACGCAGGTTGCACGCGAGGCCATCTGCATCCAAAGGAATGCCAATTCTGGTTGGTATCAAGAAAAAGAAAAGAGCGATATCGGTTAATGGCATGTATAGAAGGTGATACATAGGGACAGGAAACGCTTGCACATAACGGGTCAACAGCATGTAGGCAGATGTAGAGTAAGGTATATTTCCGCTTGCAAAACCTTTTACAGTTTTTGGTTTTTCGAATTCTTTGCGAATTTTTGGGATTTCAAAAGATCTTGCATTTTTAATTTTCAAAACCTTGGATTTACACACACCCCCAGCGTCCGCTCGCTCCGCTCAGTCCTCCCTCATGATTCGTTGGCAGTCCACATACTGGTACGACTCGTCTGGGCTCCGGAGGTCCGCGCATGTTTCATGGCACCAGTGCTTGCAGTCGCAGCATTGAACCCGCTTTACGTCCACGTGCACGGAATCTCGTCTCTTTTTGCCGCAAATGAGACATACCTTGCAATCATGCGATACCTGCACAGACGCTCGCCGCGTTTTCTGGAAGCGGCATGTCGCTGCAGTTGTAGTTTGCAGCTGTCGGAAATCCGTCTTCTGTGACGGATCGCCAACTATCACTATGTCTCTATCATCCACTTCTCTACTGGCGAGACCCTGTTTTCGTTTGGACGGCGCTGCTGGCAAACTACGTTGTGACCCTGAAGGCTCACGACTAACAGCCGTATATTCATCCGCTGTCTATCTATGGAAACATCCACACGCCCCCGCTGATTCCGACAAGGAGAAAAGCGTTCGCGTTCCCACCAATGGTCATTTGTTGCCCGGTGGTGGAATCCTAAGCCATTAGCGCTAAATCAGGTCTCCCACGAAGACGCCCGGCGAGATCCTTCAGAGCTCGCACCTGGTTACGGACGTTGTAAAGGCCCATTGTCTTTGATGCGATAGCCAATACCTTTACATTACTTTCATTAATGGCTAGCTTGTCGGCATCCGTGCACTGTGGAGCAGTATGCACTTCCTGGTACCTTCTTTCGCCAGGCTGGGAAACTTTCTCCGGTGTTTGCGCAGGTGATAACCAATGACTTTCCTGGAACAGGTTTGCTTGTGGACAGCCGATTAGCTGGCATACCTCTAGGGCATAAGCACACGACGTATTCCAATGCACAGTTAATGCGCATTTGCAAACCGGGCGCCTGCATATTTCAGCTGGAAGGAACGCCCACGGGATGTGCGCACATTCTAGAACCCCTTGCCATATCCCTTGTCTGTCACTTCGATTACCTTAGTACATAGAAGCGGCGAGACAGCATATGCGCAGTTGGAATGTATCAGTTGAAACAGCTCATTTGCGCTAAGCAGCGGTCTAGCACCAACATCCTTGCGGTAAATGCTACGTCGTTCGCTGCACCGCATCATGGTAACTGAGCCAACTTTCGTTGGGCAAGAGCGCATAGAAAATACTATGAGCAAAGCCGGTTTCTTCAAGTTGCACCGCATGCCATAGCACATTAGCACGTTGGTTGCGCTGTGTGTTGTCTGTCAAGATGACATCGCAGAAGCGATTACATAATGCTACAACGCTCCGCGATATAAAATATACATACTGCACTATACCTTTGTTGCCCACTATGTCGCATATCTCTTCCCCAGTAGAAGCATCCTCCTTCGATCGGCTTCGTTCCCACGATCCATTTTAGCGTGTTGGTTACGTATAGACCGGGCGTCTGCACATTCCAATCGCACTTGGAAAGTAACAGGTGCAAACACTCTTATCACACGCGTACTCTTAAAATACTGCATGAGTTCAAATACTTGCTACTCATTCTCCGGTGAGAGCCTGTGATTACGCACGGATAACCATGGTCTTCCAACTTGAAACCCATGGCTAAGCGTAATAGAGTGATCCGTTATCTTATAAGAACCAGCGACAAATCGACACGTGATGTGAGCGGCACGATTGCAGTCTCTGTAACTAAATGGGCAGTTTTAACAAGCTAAAGGAAATCACTTACTGGCGGCCTTCACCACGTTTCCTTTGGGCAGGAACACATACATACATCACGTACAAATATGCCGCCCTTTTCGGTAGCACAATACCACGGTTTCTGCGGCATCTACTGGCAGGTTCAGCATTGTACACGAAAAATGACGTGCATGACTGACGTTCGAATGCCGAGATGTTTTCCCTAAACGCCTTACTCGTTTCATATTGCACCTTCGTTAGCTGTTTGTCTACTTAATCCTCGTTAACCACACGCTTTGTTGCTAAGGTTGAGCTATTGCAACCGGAATCTTCATCCGAACGCATTGCGGCCGACCCCTTGACGAACATGAAGCACGTAGGGTCCGTGGCGCTGGCAGGTAGGGTGGAGCAGCATAGTACGCTTCCTTATATACGGATCGACAAGCTCGGCAATTAACCCAAAAGTTGCACAAATTTTGCATTTAATCATGTTTTGCACATTTCTATTGCTTTCCAAAGACGCTGATTACGAGTTAAAAATTTACTTTGCGGTTTTCTCGTTAAGTTGCCTGCCACAGCCGGTAGAGGAATTTTTCACTACCCGACGGTCCCTCAACCCTACACCTAACTTTGGATACTTGATCATATAAGTTATATAAATCTACTTGGTACTCTAGGCCTTCATGGATGGTAAATGGAATCTAACCAATCATATCAGCAAGACTGAACCACCACACGACTGCACCCGTATTTCTAGCTTATTACAACCGCCTGCGAAATCTCTTGCCTTATAGCCCGGCGGTCTACTGCGACCTACGTACACCCGGAACCGGAAGTGCTCAGAACCTATGACCGGACGAATATCACAGCAGGAATTCAGTGGCTCCGCTCTCCATGATATTGAATATTCAAGTTTCGTGCTTTCTGAGATCAGTCGCATTCGGACGGTGACCGAGTGGTCTGCGCGTTTGTTTTGCAACCATAAGGTCACCGGTTCCAATCCGCGTCCTCGCGATACACTCAGCCCGCGCGGGAATGGTGGTCGCAAGCAGCGAAGCGCCGTTATGGCGTACAGCTAACAGATTATTGTTATTCTTATTATTTGAGATCAGTAGGAGGTAATTACTTGTACCTTAGTCCCTTCTCTAAGCGGGAGGAGGACAAGGAACTTAGCCTCCTGCTCAGACATGCAGTGGCAGCTGTACCGAATTCGGTGATTATCGGTGATCTGGCGGAGCGTCCTGTTGTAATATTCCTCCGGTCCGGCGTTCTGAGCTCTTCCGTGTCCAAGTAGTGTGATAAGCTGCAATGCAAAATAAATACCTCGTAGACGGCTGTACGCTCGAGCAGCCTAGTAACAGGCCGATGTAAAGGAAGCAGCTAAGGAAGCACGGAAGAGGAAAGGAAGAGTGCCGGAGAGGAATATGAGGGTAATGAAAACAGGAAGCAAAGCCGATCGACCTCTTACCTGTTAACGTGTTACCGTGACGCGCGCGGACCGGCTACATATCCGCCACTTGGAAATAATGTTTTTTCGGCAGTGTGATTCCGGTACACATGGTTGTAGGATGTAGGTGGATTCTCCTGTGTCTTGGACAATTTACCATGCATTCTCCCACTTCCTTCTTTTTTCCGATACATGCAGTGGACTTCATAAACCACTTTTTATATTCCGTTTCATTTTTAACAACAATGTTATATTTCAACTTTTCCACTTTTATTCCACTTTGCAAGTAGGCATGGAACAGATCAGTTTTTGGATTTTTGGAGGTACTGACCTCTTTACAAACACGTTGCGCAAGTACCTAATAAAACCCTTGCCTTTTGAGAATGCAGAAACGGGTTGTCCTGATGAACAACAACCGCATTCAAAATCGCGCCAGTGGCGGATACGACGGTCCCGTGATTCCGACCTTTCACTGCGGATAGCGATCTCCTGTGCGTTTTCGTGGCTTTGGTTAGAAGCGTGGATTGACTTTCAAGTGCTTCCAAGTGACGGACGCGGACATCCTCGTGACTGATACCCAATTGTTATAAATGCTCTTGAGTCCATCAAGGAACATTTGTCTTGGTACTATTTTCCTTGGACCGGCGTATCCTGATAGGCTGCTCAAGTTGCAGATGTTTTCGCTGCACTGTAGGCGCCTTCGAGGAGACCTGATTCTTACGTACCGTATGTTGACCAACAAGGTTGGGCCTTATCTAACTGGGCTGTTCCATCCGGCTCAGATACCATCTATTCGTGGTCACCCTCTGATGCTGCATAAGCCCAGATCTGATCGCGTTAGAGCTGACTTTCGTTTATCACGCAGGGTCATCGAACCATGGAACGCATTACCCAGCGAAGTAGTAGTAGCACCAACGGTGAAGGAGTTTGAACATCGACTCGACGCCCTTGGGTTGCAGTTTCAGACCTCTCCTTTTAGTTCTTAGCTTCTGCATCCATTTTCTTGGCTTCATTGTATCATTATCATTGTATGGTAGAGAGCAGAAGGAGAGTCCTTTATCAGCTCCGTCGCTTCCCAGTCATTGCGAACATTGCTGGGGTCGTAGTGAAAATAGGGTTCCACAATGAACCTTAAAGCTAGGTTGTGAAGCAATATCCGGGCACAGTTATCAAGTGGGATTCCAACAATTTCTTGAAACTTTCCTCGGACTGCGCATCAACGACGAGCTCCGCCAGGCGATCCCAGTCATTAACCACGCGCGTGGATAGAGCTAGATTTGACCGCACATGGAGTCTCCTCGATTTGAACGATTTCCATCCGTGACCACGTGTGAAACTTTCAATGTTCAGATGAAAGAACTGCTATAACTCGCTTCCTAGTTCTCTTCTTAGGATACGTCTAGTGTAGATCAAGTCGCTGCGACGACGACGGTAATCCAGAGAGAAAAGACTTAATCGTTGGAGACGGAGAGGCTAAGATAGGCACCGCAGTTCTGGCACACATTTAGATCCACGGCGTTGGACCTTCTCAGTCATATCACATTCGGTCTTCATGAGATGCTGGGCAGCTGGCAAGCCGTACTCGAGAATCGAGCGCACATGTGAAGCAAACAGGATTCTGAAGAGTTCTGGAGTAAGGCGGGAGAATGCTCTTCGTAAGGCATGGAACATTTTGTAAACAGCTGTGACTCTTTTCCGGGTGTCCTCAGTTGTTTTGAGGTAAGGAGACACAATTACTCAAGGTCCCTTTCCTGAGCGACATTTCTAAGCAGGAAACCTCCAATATGATACACCCCGAATGGTTCACAGGCACCAATCGGGAGTACGGAACATTTATTCCGGTTGATACTGATACTGATACTGTCATGATAGCGAGAAAGATGTTGAACATCTATGTAGCTATATCTCAATGTAGGACATGTCCCACTGACACAGTGTTACCTGTAGTAGTGAGCTAGCCCAGGTGAAAAAAGTAAAATATTTACAAGCATAGAAAAAATCTCCATGTACTTACCATATATTCTTGGATGAACCACATGGAGTCCTTCACCAGCTCCGCCGCCTATTACGGATGGGCATCGTTTCGGAAGCTGCAGTTGGTGGATTAACGGGCTCCATGGGTTATAATCATTGAACGATTCCTTCGTCAGTTTCCTGTGAAGGCTTCGTCGAATCTGGCATCCACAAAGTGCGCGTCCAGGAATCGTTTGAATTCCGACACCGAGTTCGCTTCTACTATCCGCGAGGGCAAACGGTTCCACATGTTCACCACTCGCCGCTCAAGACACAAGGGATGAGCTACCCACTTGAGGTCAGGGACTACCAGTTTGTACTGGTGACCTCGTGTGCTGCTTGACGCACGGACATGGAGCAGTGGCCTCAGCATCGGATAAGCACCCAGATGCAATACCCGATGGGTCATGATGAGGTCCACTCGCACGCGGCGGTAGGCTAGAGTATACAGACCCAATTGTCTGCATCTTTCTTCATACGGCACACCCTGAAGACCGGGAATGAGCCGTGTGGCTATGTGTTGTACTCTTTCGAGCTTGTGTATCTCGCCTTTCGTCAACGGACAGTAGGCGGGTGAGCCGTATTCTAGCACCGGTCGTACAATGGATGTGAAGAGACGAGTGGCAATCTCTTTCGACCAGGTGCAGAAGCTACGTTTCAGCGCCCACAGCGAACGCAATGCTGTGCGATACATATTGTCCGTGTTGTCCAGTGACTTCATGTCGTAACGTTGTATAACGCCAAGGTCTCTGACGCAATGCGTCGGGTGTAGAACTTGGCCGTCGAGAGTGTACGATCGGCCCGCTCCACCTTTACCGAGGCACAGAAGTAGCGATTTTGCCGAATTGATAGGCAAACTTACTTCGGCGGACCACATGGAGAGGCGGTCGAGGTCCTGCTGAAGTATGTCAAAGTCGTCCGACGTATGGATCACCCTCCATAGCTTCAGGTCATCCGCGAACAAGGCACACGGCGACCGAAGGAGATTGGGCACGTCGTTGATGTGAATCAGGAAGAGAATGGGGCCAAGCACCGTCCCCTGAGGAACGCCGCTCGTCGACGGGTACCAGTCGGTCAGGTGGCTGTCGACTTGCACCCTCCACTTCCGTCCAACTAAGAAGTCACGGATCCATTGGTGCAGCGAGCCTCCGACTCCGCACTCCCTCAGTTTCTGAAGGAGGATCTCGTGATTCACTCTGTCGAAGGCCTTACTGAAATCGACGTATACCACGTCGACTGACTTACGTTGGTTTACTGCTTGCAACCATTCATGCCATGTTAGCAGCAGGTTAGTGATGCACGAGCGGCCTCTCACGAAACCATGCTGTGCAGGCGTCAGGAGAGAGTTGGTCTCCAATAGCTGGAGCAGTCTCTTCTTCACAATCTTCTCCAGAACTTTCGACAATACTGCGGTCAAACAAATAGGGCGGTAATTCTCCACTTTGCGTGTGTCACCGCCTTTTGGAATCGGTTTGACAACGGCGCATTTCCAGTCACAAGGCACGCAGCCTACGGACAGGGATCGGTTGAACAGGTCGGTTACAGCAGGTGAGATCACAGCTGACAAGGACTTGAGGATCAGCGGATGGAGACCATCCGGTCCAGCTGGCTTCGTGCTGTCTAGGCAGCTGACTAGCCCATGTACCTCCGCGACGTCGCAGATCAAGTCGGTTAGCTCAGTCGGTGCGGCGACCGCAGAGCTTGGCGCGCAGGTTTGGTTAGTTGCGAATACAGAAGCGAAGTGCGCCGCTAATGCGGACGCACGCTCGGTGCTTGAACTTAGTGGTTGTCCGTTCGAACCCACTAGCACCGGCACATTACCTGCAGACTTCAGGCGTCGCTTCACGTACGCAAATATGCGCTTCGGGGCAGTTTTAGCTGAGCAAGCAAGCTGCTCCTCAAACTGACGGCGTTTTCGCGTCTTTGTGCTGTTGCACAAGTTTCGTTGTCGCTTGTATGCCTCATAGTCATCGGCAGAGCCAGACAGGAGGAACGCATTCCATAGTCGACGTCGTTGTCGAGACAGTCGGTTATACTCTTTGTCAAACCAATGGGGTTTCATTGGTCCAACTTTCCGAGTCTTGAGGGGTACAAATTGCGCACACAATGAGTGCACTGCCCCTTTAATGTTTGTCCAGCAAGTTTCAACGGATGAATCCTGTGGCATAGACCAATCAAGCTGATTGGCAGCTAGAAGGAGGCCATCGAAGTCAGCTTTCCAATAGTTGTATGTTGGCGCCACTGGACGCACACATGGAAGCTGCAGGTCTATAGTGGCCATAATTGTCGAGTGATCACTGGCTGCCATGGGCTCAAGAACTTCTATGTCATGCACTGTTTGTTCGCAGCTGGTTAGCAGCAGGTCCAGGCATGATGGCATTGAGCGCGGGGTTATGCGGGTGGGTTGCGTGATGTGCTGCACCGCTCCGGTTTCCAGTACCAGTTCGGCGAATCTTGTCTCCACTTCATTATGGCCAGGGAGAAGCTGAACTTCAGGCCATAAGATTCGAGGAAGGTTAAAGTCGCCAGTGAGCAGGAACTGTGGGCGACTCATTTGGTTTTGGACGTGTGTGAGCCAATCCAATCCGTTACTCAGTGGGCTACGATATGCCACACCCATGGGTAACTGCCATTTTACCGACCAGTCGTGGAGCCTGTTGAGTGTTTCTTGGAGCCTGTCTGCATCCTCAAGACTGGATACCTCAATCCAAAGTTTCAGGTCATCGGCATAAATCAAATATTCCGTCTGCAGCTCGGACGGGAGGTCGTTAATAAAGATATTGAAGAGGACAGGGCCAAGGACAGAACCCTGTGGGACACCACTGGTCATAGGAAAAGGGTCAGAAAGTGTATCATTCACCCTAACTTGCGCAGAGCGACCGTACAGGAAATCGGAGATCCAGGAGAGAAAATTTCCAGCAACGCCGATTCCGTGGAGTTTGAAAAGAAGCCGCTCATGCGGAACCTTGTCGAAGGCCTTGCTAAAATCAACAAACACAGCATCTACTCGTTTGCGAACATCTAGTGATCTCACCCATTTCTCCCTTGCCACAAGCAAGTTTGTGACGCATGAGCGAGCGCTTCGAAAACCATGCTGGGCAGAAGAGATGAAATCTAACCTTTCGAAATGGAGATAGCGCGCGTTTTATTGTCCGTTTCATAATTTTGCCGACTACAGATGTCAAACAAATAGGATGATAATTTGCTGGATCTTGTTGGTTTCCTCCTTTATAAATAGGCTTGATGATGCCCGATTTCCAGGCAGCCGGAAGACGTCCAGTATCAAAAGACAGACGGAATGTCTGACAGGTGCGGTGATGTGCTCGGCTACAGTTTTAAGGAACAATGGATGTAGGCCATCAAGGCCAGGGGAAGAATACGGGTTTAAATTAAGAAGCAGTTTCAGTGCAAAATCAGCGTCAATATCTAAATGCTCTAGCAAAGAAGGAAGAAATGACAAAAAGCTGTCAGGAGACGTTTCTGTTGAATACACAGAGGAATATTGCTTAACTACAAGATTGGCTTTTTGTGTGTCTTCGTGAATTAAACCAGCATGCTCGCGGGAACACAAAGCAGGAATGCCACTGCCGGCTCTCGTACTTCGCTTGATATCCGAGAAAAGCGCTTTGCATGTGGTCCTGGATAGAG